GCCAGCTGACTGTGACGACAACCACCGCCGCTCGTAGGAACGCTGATCAATAAATGAGATCACTGATAGTATTCTACAGACCTTTACACATAACCATGCTGGTCAATGAACATAATCATGGCCAATATTTACCTAACTGTAAATCTGGTTGATTAATTGACAATTACGTCACTGTAGGTTTTACTTACAAGTGCAGCATTTAAAGCGAGAGGGCACGAACGGGAATTGAGTCTCAAGCGACGATAACAACACACGCTAAAAATGCAAAGGCTCATGGGAAAACACTTGTTTGTAAACAATTACACGCTATGGCCGTCTGACGCATGCGCAGGTGACGACCCCCCCCTGCTTTGAACTGGTAATGAATTTATGGTACTAGTATTTCACTTTTACTTCAGCAGGCCCACTGTGTATGGCCCTTGAACACATTTGCATAGATAATAAGATGAACTTACCACCTTAACATTTTCACCATCAGCTTCATCACAAACTCACCAAATAGTCCCTTCAGTGAAAACTATAAAATTGACTCAAATTTTGACTGTTGCAACCACAATTTTCAGAAATATTGTAAAATTTTAGAAAAAAGAGCAGAAAAATTTGGTGAGCAATCATTTTAATGTATTTTCCTGTGTTTTCATATTTTTTTAATTTTCAATGTAATCGCACCATAAACATAGAATCACTAATTTATTTATTTTTCAAAAGAATTTATCCAGACCTGTCACAATGGAAATGATTATTTATAAAAATGAAATGATTTTTTTTTTCCATTTTTGCACAATACTTTCTCAAAATATGTTAAATTGACTCAATTTTCAGGCTAGTTTTGTTGAACGTTAGAGTAATATAAGATTTGAATTTCCCATGTCTTGGAGATTAATGATGACCCTCTGATGGATCTGACACTCCCTGTAGCACGCCCTCAGTGGCCGTATTCGTGATTTCTGTCGGGCGGCCTCGCAATCATAGTCGGTGAAAAGGCCGAAACTTCGTGTTAATTTCGCGGTAACCCAATTTTCGACATTTATACACTTGATACTATATTATTTTGTTGAAAAATCACCCAAAAATAGACAAAAGACTGTATAAAAGTCTAGCCCAGGACAGTTCGAAACGCATTACAGGCATTACCTGCGTTCATCATGATTGTACAAAGCCGATTCGCATACCACTCATTTGCATATTCGAATACGTTCCTTTCGGCGGTTTAATAAAATGTTTCCGCTCTGACTCTGAAGGATGCCAAACAATTACATTTTAAATAAATGATTAACTTTAAAAACCTACCAGATGCTATGTTTGTTATATGTCAGACGCGGAGAATCCGTTCAAGCCATAAATATTATTAAATATTCACCAGAAAAAAAAGATAAACGGAGACGTTAGGAAATTCATTTGAGTGAAATTAGTGTTTAATGTTTCTTCCCAAGCTAAATACCGAACGTTGTTTCTTTCCAATGTTAGTGTATTACGTGCAGCAGGGGCGGAAACAGGATTTTTTTTATGGGGGGGGGTCCAAACTTTAAAATCCCCAGACTAAGTTAATGATTTTTTTATATTATACAAAAACAAATTGAATACATTTTTCAACGGGGGGTCCGGACCCCAAGACCCCCCCCTTTAGATCCGCCACTGTGCAGGCCTGCTCTCCATGCACGCGGCGATGTTCCATCCTGATGTTCCGAGTCCATAGACCATTTTGCCACAGTGTTACGCGTCGGTCAATACTTCCACTGTGCTGTCTTCGTGTATACTTTGCGGTATCCTCGTAATTAAACCTTGTGTTATGATATGACAATCATTACAAAAAACAGAAAGATGGAGGTGTGGTTATTCAAATTCGGAGTCCTAACTGACTGCTAAAGTACCAACACATCGTATAAGAAAATACGGAAAGCTCTCTTGTAGGCAGATTATTCACCGTAACGGTTGTTGGTATATTAAACAAGGGACTTTTAATTCATATCTGACAAAATTATCGCAGTGTTTGTGTTGACCAAATGGTTAACATCATAGCCCATTGTAGAGCAAATCATGATTTTGTATACCCCTCCCCTATAAACTAATAAGTGTATGCCCTAGAACAAAAACTTGAAACATTGTGCATTGTGATACTTGGGGGGAATATGCTGTCAAAGCAGTAAAACTCAGAACGGAAGCTAAACATATTAGAAATAAAATGGCCACCGTTTGACTATCTTGAATCGGATCATCAACTAAATGTGCATACATTTGTCACGGTGTGTGATGCATGTTAAATTTGAACATGGCCGAGCCAGATATGTCAGGAGTTCTGTCCAATTTGTTTGCATTCCGTCCGAAAGGTATTTTACAAAAAACAATGAGGTCAAATATAATTATTTATAAAAAATATGAATCTTTTTGTTTGTTAGTTGATATATTAAATGTACATTTATAGAATATGGACTTGAAATGTATGAAATCTCCATAGTGCAACAATTATATATCAGAAAATTATTTATATCATATTACCGGGGGTAGAAATATTATTTATTTGGGAAGTGCATTTAGAACTGCATGTTAACAACTAGACTGATTGAAAGAGTTTATCACACTGGTGAATGTTTTACTCCATGAAGATATAAATTGAATAAATGCTATATTTTATATATTATTCTCCATAACATTACGCAGTGCTTATCGAGGAAAATTTAATAATATTATCTGGGGAGTATACTGACATCTAGTTATCATAGTAGGTATTTCAGTTGTATTTTTGTACAACATTTGTACAAAATGGACGCACTAAAAGTGAGTTATGACCGTATGAAACAATGGTTTAAGACATCAAATCAACAACGAGAATGACAGACATTTACTCCATCTTTTCCTACAACTGATGAATGATAAAAGGCACGGTAAAAATAAAAATGCTTTATATTCGCATAGTATATTTCTTCTTTTAACTTTATTGATTTGAACTTTCAAGCTCAGACAGAGTCCAGACATCTGATGCATTCGATTACAAACCCCGCCTCCTGTTATCAGGCATGTTCGTCAATAGCTCCAAAAATACCGGTACATGAGCAAGGTATACCAAACTCGAAGTGCATCAAGATCGTACATTGATTGATTGATAATATTTAAAAGTTTGACTGAGAATGAACACAAATTACTTGATTTCCTGGCCACAATAAGTGTTAACATACCTCGCTAATCATTATCATTAAGGGCAACTTCTAGCCGGAGAAAATATGCCATAAAGATTCCAGATGACTGTCCCATATCGCAACTATCGGTGAATTCATTTGTTCAGTTGACATTTTTTAATAATAAAAATCATCGTCAATTTCCATTTATTATAAAACGTGAAAAGTATTCATTTTTGTGAGTTTCGCTTAATAATCGTATTTAAGTACTGGAATTCGTTTTTCTCTGAGGTTTTGTTCGTGTCGTCGTTTTGCAAAAAAAAATCTTTCTGAATTTTATTTGAAGAGTTGATAAACAATAAATTCCAGCTGATTTAATAATTACTGATGATATACATTTCTGTTGTTTCATGTGTCTCGTATTTTCAATGTATGCTTTGTGTAACGTTGAGCGAGCAAATCGATCTGTTCTACGATTACGCTCTATATTAAGTCTTGTGACGGCTCATCGCCACAACTGCAGCGCATCGCCAGGGTTCGGGTCTATATTGGCAGCACATAATCTTCTGCATCGTCTTCGAAGTCGGTGCCAGATTCGAAACCAAAAACTTCTCTAAGCAAAGGCGGGAGTTCGAATTCCAAACCAACCATGTTGCGCATTTTACTATCCGGCCGATAAGCAAATCGCAAGTGTTTGATATGCTGCACACTGTGTGTGCGCAGTTCAACGAGCAGATTTAATATCTTAGGGAGCAGGACCCGGTTTCCTGGTCGTGTCTGCTGGATTGTGTATTCTAAAGCAGATGTTATCTTTTCCTGGAATAGTTCTACCTTTGCTCTGTCTTGTATGCCATCTCGATCTGAAACAAAATAGAGTGAAAAGTACTTTATCAAAGGTAACTGTAATATGAATGTTAAAAAAGTAACAAATAATTTTAAAGTTCAGTATTCTTGATTATTTGCTTCATTTGGAAGCATTTCAAGTTCCCCATTCAAACAAATTTCAAGCATAGCGTTTTGAATTTCAAAACGTTTTATTTGTATTCGAACTTGTCTTTACGTACCTGGTGCAAATAATACAAGGGCACACATCAACGCCATTTCTTGATCCGTCATGTTTAATTGAATGACACGCTGGCCAAATTTTATTTTTGGTTCTGTGATTTCCTTCATATTCATATTGATCAGACTTGAAAAGTGATTGATCATACGATCGGTGTTAATATATACGCCTAACTCGTACAATACAAGTCTCGAAGGATCTGCCAAGCGATATGAGTTTACCATCATGCTGAGTTCGTAAGCTCCATGCTTTAGTAAAATGACCTGGTCAGAAATGTCCAAATCCTGAAAATCATTTAGGGTTCTTACAAAAGATGCCGCTAGTTTGATTTGAGCCTGTGCCACGCAGTGGCCGCACATTATAACGTCCTTGAATTCGGTGAGTTCTATAAAAGCCTCGGGATCTCTAGATCTTTCCTGGTCTTGACCATTCTCAGGGCTACTTAGCATTGATTCGTTCACCTCAATGTTGACATCTGTTGATTCTTTGTTTTCCGACTGTCGAAAAAAAAAACACAGAACAAACGTAATTGTATAAAGTTTCTAACGAATGGTCGGAAATTGATGCCAGCTATAGCCAATCACAATTCGCGTGTATTGTACATCAACCATGTACAAAAAATCCAGAGCTGAACTTACCGGAGACTTTCTATATTTTTTGAATTTCAAAGCCTCTTGAAATATCTGGCTATATGCAGAGTATAAGTTGTCGATGAGTTCTTCGTTCTCGGCTGAAAAGAACCGCATTGGTGTTTGGACCGGAGACTCAAGTGGAAAGCTTGGAGACTGTGAACAACCGTGGTCATCGGAGGATACAAGCGACGTTGATGGCGATGGAGTCGGGGTGAGAGTACCGGTAGGTGGCGCTGTCATTAATGACGCCCGTTTTTCAAGTTCTTGGAGTATCTTCTTCTTTTCAACAAGAGGTATTCGTCCCATCTTCACTTCTGCAAAAAAAATGAAGCTCAACGATATGTTTTGAAATACTGGAAGTCATCGCCATCTACATTTGAACTGTTGTAAATTGTGAGACTGAAAACGCAAATATATAAACGCGCATTGAGCTTCTGGGAAGCGAAGGCAAACCTTTCGCAGACATGCCCACGTCCAGACATTTTTTATAACGGCAAAACTGGCACTTATTTCTGGTGGAGATGTTGATGGTGCATGGGTCGGAATCGCGGTACGGGCACGGCTCGTATAGGAGGCTCATGCGTATCGTGCGACGAAAGAATCCCTGCAAAAAAAAAAAAAAAAGAAGAAAAAAAAACATGTAAATCGTTTAATGAGGTATGAAACTTCAATGAGGAGGAAAATATTGTAGTTAATAAGTTAAAAATGTATAACCGTAAGTATCTCCTCTCGTTTTGTCGTTTTAGGTGACACGGTCACGTGGTGTTATACGTCACGTTTACCTTGCATCCTTCGCAGGAGTGGACTCCGTAGTGCAATCCCGTGGATACGTCACCACACACTGCACACACGTACTTACTGGCTGTAAAATATAATCAATAAGTTCTTGACAGTTATTTCACCCCGACACATTAACACCGAGCATGGTAGGTAAAAAATAATTTAAGCTCAGACTAGTTGCGAACCAGGGAGAGTTTGTAGAGAGCGCAGTACAGCGAGAGGGCCCGTCATTTGTTTACAAAAACACAGTTAGATATTACTATGGAATTCTATAAATATTACCCAATAATCACCGCATTTAATAAATGATTACAATGTTGTTTTTGTTTCCCGTTGAGAGACAGTTTTCTGCATGATGCAGTGAAAAGTTCAGTATTACATTATCAGTTTTATTAGCATACCATTTTTTAATGAAACTGCAGGACAATATCATGTTTTCAAATCAATCGAAAAAACACAGACATTTATAAATATGTAAGTCACAGCTTATGAGAGAAATCAATAATTGTCTTACGGAAATCAGCTACTCGTGTTGCAATGAGGACGTCTGGATTATTTAAAGCGGGGGAGTCGATACCTGCGCGTGCGTCAGATGGCCATAGCGTATCATTGTTCACAAACAAGCGTCAACCTTTGAGCCTTTGCGTTTTAGCGTGTGTTGTTATCGTCGCTGGGACTCAATTCCCGCGCATGCGCAGGTGACGACCCTCCCGCTTTAACGTCCACCGATGTCAGGTACTACACGGGACCCAGTCAGATAGCTACATGGAATTATCAGTGTTTTTTTTTCACGCAATTTTATATATTTAGATATTTCCCATTTCGCAATGTGGTTGTTGGTTTCCTATTGCAATGCTAAACTAAAATATACTGTTAAGCATTATGAACCGTACCCTCCCCGAACAACAACGGTATCCCCGAACAGCAATGGTATCACCCACAGTTAAACTTTGGCAAATGATGACTGAGTTCACTCAGGTTAAATGAAGGTCGAGTGACTCTGTGTCACGTCGTTTTAAAATGGGTTATATTACATACAGTAGTTGTAAATACATCTGTGTCGTGAGTTCGAAGGTTTGGTTTGAGTACTGTAGGACAATTAATAACATGACTAAGCAGTTTTGCAGCTATAAACTGGAACTGACACAGTCTCCAGTCACCATTGGCCACGTCCTACACCTGCTACGAAGGTGTCACCAGGGAGCTGTAATGAGTCTCATTACAGCTCCCTGGTGTCACAGACAAAATCGCATAATTTCAGACAATCTGTGATTTATACAAACGTCAGGTTGACCTTGCACATAAACCATGGGCATGTACACTAAACACATGATAGTTTACGCGATATGACATACGTGACAAATGTCTAAATTACCTTGTCGAGGACGGCTTTTCCGATTTTTAATCTTCGAGGATGCCATCGATGCGGGAAAAGTTACACCCTGGTGAATAGTCGTATCTAGAAACAACACAGTGGATTGACCGTTATCTAGGTCAGGAGTTATATGGAAAGTCGTTACGCATTTGCTGGTTAACACCGTACTGCGTGCTAAACCATAGTATTGACTTCATAAGACAATAACCGTGACAGTAATGATAGTTTCCGCAGCCATGGGATTGTGATTTTCACACACAGCGCCGAATGTTGTACATGCGGAACTTGGTACGAACCATAAAAGTATGCCGTAGTGTACTTAAAAATAAATAATGACGTCATACACAAAGCGCCACCATACATCAAAAAAAGAATGATTAACTGAATAGTTTGCTAAGGAAATATGAATTGTCAGCTTGCACGAATATTTTCACACGGAACAATTGTTAATTCTGGTAGACAAATGGCTCATACAAATTATCACGCATGTCAAAAAAGAACCCTAGTTTTAAAAAAGGTATAAATCTTCAACAAAATTGTCTGAAAATGGTATAATTTTTTCATTGCAGACGTCTGGAAGGGGGTCTGGAAGCACTGGTGGCACCCTTTACAGATCCCAAAGAAAAGTATATAAAAGTATATAAATTACATTTATTGTATAAATAATTAAATGCAATTCAATTTTACACCTTACTTGAAAATATGATGGAATGTGTATTTTTTGAGATACCATAGGATTAATATATGGTTTCCATGGAAACGTGTTTTCATGACTTTATCACACATGTGTGTGACTATAACGGGCAGAATATTATACTTTGCTTAATTTAAAACACGTCTGTCATTTTTGTTGGACGGGTTGATTATATCTCAACAATCAGATGGTGCCGCGCCTTGTTCGGTATTTCGACGAGCGCCAACATCTACCCTCAACGCGCCCTCATCGACGTGAATGGTTAAATTTTGTGCTTCGCGGAAGACCACACCTTTGTCAACAGTGTGATCGGTAATGGCTGTTCGCTGACCGCTGGACTCTTGCTGCTGAGTGTACATATCTTTCATTGGTCCAAAACATTTGTCGTTTCAGCTGATCAACCCATATATTACCTTATAACTCGAGTAGTTTACCCACTAGCTGCTCCAGGAAATGTCTACCTCCCTCGATTGCTGATATACTACGATAAACGTGTTTGACTTCGCTCGCCGCGTCCTGACTCCTGTGGTGGTGCCGGCGCTACCTGTAACATTATCAACTCTCCAACTGGGCGGAGTACTTGTACTCTGTCATTTTATGAAATCAGCTGGTGATACATATACGTGGTTTTGACGAATATTTGCATCGCGATTACAGTTCTGCCCGTGACGCGACGTACCTACAAACTTGAAGTTGAACTTGACAGCGAATGACAACTTAAAGTGAGACTTCTATTTGCGTTGTTTCCTATTACGTTCGCGGTTCGTCGATACTATATTATCCTATCGATGTAGGCTATTTTATGTGTACAGTCGTGACTACAAGTCTGTAGATAAAGAGATATCCACTATCTTGTCGTGACGTGCTGTAATTATTTGCAGTGTTGCTAGTTGTGTCGTCACCTTGTTTGATCAGGTAGGGTCTCAAGTTCTACGTGTTTTTATATTATTTTAACTGATTTGCCATTTACTTTTTTATTTTGAAGTACTTTATATGAATATTTATTTACTATATTTAACACTGCTCTTATCCAGTGTATATGAAATGTAACTCCTATAACAACACCTGTGGTCTTCAAGTGCTCATATTCGTTTTGGGAATTTTGGGATTTCATTGGCAGTGTTTTCAATAATTTCAAATACAGTACAAGTGAATTTATGGTGATTGGCTGGAGGATTTTTAACACAAAAATTCAATTGAATGAACTGTAAAAAAAAAAATGTGCTGGATGACTGTATAATGTACATAAATTTGAGAAAGCAGGGGGACAAAATTCTCAGTATAAATAGTATTTAGTATACCCGGTAGTTTATTTGACACTAAATTATATATTTTGTTACATTATCTGTGGCCAAAAGACAGTAAATATAATAAAACACAAGTACACACAAGAGACAAAAGAAAATACATAAAAGACTAAAGTCTAAGTAAAATTCTATTCTTTGAACTTAAATATGTGATTAAATACCCCATTCCCACCTCCCCCCCCCCAAAAAAAAATTCCCAGCCCTCCTCTTCAAGATTTCAAATTGGGAAAACCCTTAATCATTGCCAGCATTCCAATGCTTTATAATAGTGCAAACATTTTTTTTTTCTGATCACTTCAACTCAATAAAAAAAGCAAATAACATTTTGTTTCAATTTTATTTAGAATATTTTTCAAAATAGTTCATAATCTACTTGTATAATCAATTTTTTCTATACAAATGCATGGGTGTACCCACTTAGACGCCTAATGTTAGGCGCATATCAAACTATTTATTGATTTCCATGAAATTTATTCTATTTTAAGCTTATGAAGGTCATTCACGATTAATGTGTTTTCAGGTATACTCGTATCATCATTTAATTCATCTTCAGACTCAATGACTTGAGTGGAAATGTTGAACTGGAAAAATAGGCAGAGTTTTGTTTAAAAAAAAAAACGTTATGTACCGGTAGCATACAGTAAGTTGCATGTGTATGATTAAGGGACAACGCCCATTTGAACATTAATGGTGTTGTTAGCTGAGAGTATGTTTGTTGTGTAAACACACGTTAGTCTGGTTGACTGTTTTACAGGCGTTTTCAGCAAATGTCAGAAAGTTTGCCTATTGATTATACCACAGTCCCTCTCTGATTCTACGTTACTGTTTTTTATCAGTTTTCTATCAGGGTATTTCATGTGATTGTAACTAAAAAAAAACTTAAAATCACTCTTTCACTCCTATAAATACCTAACTTATGGTGCAAAATGCCATGCTTGATAGAACATTATATCAGGTCGTATGAATCAAGGGTAAATGTACATAAAGGGCATGCAACTTCTGTGCTCTCAGATTAAGATCTCATTATAGTCACATGACATTTTTTCAAAAAAATGACAGACTAAAGTTGACTGTCTTGTGCACTTGTTATGAAAATTATTATATATAATTTTTAAGTTTTTTTTAAAAAAAAAGTCAGGTGTTGCAATTTTCTCCTTATTTGGCTATTCAAATAGTTAATTAATTAGGCATCAGAAATTTTTTTGTGATTTCATCTGAGACAATCAACAATTGGTTGTTATGTACTTGAGTGATTATTACTTGAACTTTGAGTTGGACATATATCATAGCAACCTTTTACGATAAAGTATTTGAACTTTAGAGTACTGCTTAGTTTTGCAATGACCTCAAACGTAACAGTTATTTTTTCTCATCATTCAAGAACATGTTTTCTATGCAGTTTGTAGAAATCCCATCATGCATCTTGCCCATTGTGTGCTATTTGCTCTTACAAACACTACTGTAATATTATTTTTTCGCAAAAAAAAAAATCACAATAAACTAATCGTTTTCGCAGACAAGCCAGTGAATTTAAAACCCAATGATTATGCTCAAAATATCTAAACAGTGATATTAAGCACGAATGAAAATGTGTACGGTATATAGACATGCATCAGCGCGGAAACTCATCAGCGAATAATTACTCTTTTTTATCTTATCAATCAAAGGCTTAAAATATCCCATAATATCCAGTCAATCGTGAGTAATAAACAAGCTATAACAATCTATATAGATATGTTTCATAAAGCTTTATATGATAAATCTGACTGACTTAGTAGATTAAGTTTTAAGCCAAATATAATTAAACTCTTATACTGAGATATTAAACTCTTATATTGATAGACACTGTTGTGATGGGAGCTCCATCCTGGATTGTATATATATATCTATGATTGTATCCATATCTGTTTGAAAAAATTAATATTGGGGTGGGGGGAAAGATGACCCTGGGATAGTGACCCCCATGTAGGTTACCCACATCATAGTTGCAATGATCGAATCACCATTGTTGGTCACGAGCTTAAATTAGCCGCTCTGTGACACCTGTCCCAAACTTGGAATATTGTTTTTGAATCAAGAGACAGATTGGCATACTTGCATGTGTTTATAGTTAACGCATAGTAATGAGTGTTGTCTAAAGCAAAAAGCCACAATGTGACACAGAAGCATTGGCTTTAACACAAATCAATGTATAAAGATTTGTGAGAGAATACAATGTTTTATTTTTTATAGTTGCCCAGAAATTTTCATTAACTAACGCTACTTTTCAAATCTGTGGTATTGAGCACTGTGCATCTATAGTAGAAGTTTTATTCCAAACTTCACAAGCGACAATCAGATTTTTGTGGCAGTGTACGTTTCGCATGGGTCTTTAAGGCAGTATGATGTGCGAGGAACAGAAATGAGGTACACATTTTAAGATTAATTTATCACAGAATTGAATACAGAAGAACATTCTTGATATCAATTTAATGGAATATTAATATACATTCTATATGCATCAACTAGTCATTATTACATGGTCCCTCTATTTTCAAAAATGTGTCAATTACAAATCCCCATTGTCCTCCTTTTCATGTAAATTACAATGGATGATGGTCATCTAATTGTAACATGGTGTTTATTACGCTTGATATATTGATCATGTGGGACGAAAATTGGAAATTATGCGCCATGGTTACCATCGCCATTTAACCAACCGCTGATAATTCACTTTTATTGTCTTATTATCCCTTACTATGGAAAATTAAAATAAATTAAACTAAATATTTAAACTGTTCTCTTCTTCCTCAAGCCATGAATCTTGTAAAGTACAATAAAATTTATTTCAGTAATGTGACTCTAGAGGAGTTTTAAAATTTGTTTCTGGCTTTTCCATCATCAAAAATGTTATGCACTTTAGTGTCACCCTGGTAAGGAATTCAGTCATTCAGTTGTCATGGTGATTTCAGAAACAAGTAATTTCTATATCTTGATCATCATTTGATGTCAAATAGTGGTGAATTGTTAGTGTGTTCACCGCCCATAAACTTTGGACTAACTAAATTTGAATAATCAATCTAGTTGTCATGGTAACTGTGTGATTCTCTAGTAGTTTGATGATGCAGTCACATATTGTACAAGTTGATCCGTCGTTACCATAGATGTAAATTCCTGTCTTGCAGCCATCTTGTAAAAGCCATGAATTATCATACTTGACAACTGTCCCGACAACTTGTAGGGTTGATGTGAGTGGGTTATACACGTACACAAATGGAAGTCACTGCATATCTTTCAGAATGTAATTTTTCATCAATTCTGTTACCTGTCACGTTCATTATTGGTGTGGTAAATAATTATTTTTAGGTTGTTGCAACATGACAAGGCACAATCTACGACAGCTCGACAAAAACAGGTGTATAGCATGATTTCAGCACAAGCCATTTGGGTCTCAAGTAGGACCTGATGCGCGTCTCGAATGTCGTCTTGGAAAGATCTTCCCTGAGCGAACTTACTTTATGTTTTCTCTTGGACAATCAAATTAAAATCTACTTGTCTGGAACGTTACTCAAAAAAATGAAATTTTGATATGCTCTAATCAGTGCTCCGTATCCCCGACAACCACAATTAAAATTCATAACTAGATTTTTTTTGTCAGCTGATGCCAACACCAGGTTGTCATTTTTATTTTTTCAGCTGAATGATTATTTACTTTTGTCAGATTTATTTGAAATACAACATTTTTACAGAAATCTGAAAAATGGCGAGAATTACGTCTTTTTGAAGTGACACCCACACCCACACACACTGACCAGAAACTAATAAATAAAAAAAATGTTTTTTTTGAATAACTATATATGCGTAAAAATACATTTTACAATAAAAATTATATTCAGTGTTTGGGAGTATACATGACCAGGTCATCTTAAATGATA